TGTTGTGGATAAAGTCAAAGAAGAAGTAAACATTAAAGACATCCCAGTGGCATGTGACTTCCCGGATGTATTTACAGAAGACCTTCCGGGAATACCCCCAGAAAGCCAGGTTAAATTTCGAATTGACCAAATACCAAGAGCCACATCAATTGCCAAATCACCCTACAAGTTAGCTCCCACCGAAATGCAGGATTTATCCAACCAACTAAGCGACTTGTTGAGAAAAGAATGCATCAGAACAAGCTTCTCACTCTAGGGAACTCCGGTCTTGTTTGTCAAGAAAAAGGATAGATCTTTCAAAATGTGCATCGATTATAGGGAATTGAACAAGCTCACTATCAAAAACCGATACCCACTCCCTCAGATTGACGATCTATTTGACCAGCTTCAATGAGCTAGTTACTTCTCCAAAATAGACCTAAGATCTGGTTATCATCAAATCCGAGTCCAAGAAGAGGATATTCGTAAAACTGCTTTCCGAACTCGATACGATCATTACGGATTTTTTGTGATGCCCTACGGTCTAACAAATTCCCCCACAACATTTTTGGGCCTCATGAATCGAGTCTGCCACCCTTTTCTTGATAATTTCATAATCGTCTTCATCAACGATATCCTTATATACTCCTGAAGTAAAGAGGAGCATGGTCAACATCTCCGTCAAATCCTGGAAACCCTAAGGGCTGAGCGTTTATATGCAAAACTCTCAAAATGCAAGTTCTGGATTCGAAGTGTAAACTTTTTGTATCACGTAGCCAGTGAGGAATGGATTCTCGTAGATCCTTCCACGATCATGGCCATTGAAGGCTGGCGATCCTGAAGACACCAACAAAAATTTGACAATTTTTCGACCTCGCAGGCTATTACCGAAGATTTATCCAGAATTTTTCAAAGATAGCCAAACCCCTCACCACCTTGACGCAAAAAAGCATATATTTCAATTGGACGGAAAAGAAGAAGCTGCCTTCAAAACCTTGAAGCGAGCCCTCTGTAGTGCACAGTGCTATCCTTACTAGAGGGAACCGAAGACTTCGTGGTCTACTGTGATGCTTCAAACCCAGGATTAGGTTGGATCCTCATCCAGCGTGGAAAGGTGATAGCTTACGTATCCAGGCAATTGAAGACACATGAAATGAATTACACCACCCATGATCTCGAGCTGGGAGTTGTGATCTTCGCCCTAAAGATTTGGAGGCACAACCTCTATTGTACGAAGTGCACCATCTTCACGGATCACAAGAGCCTCCAGCACATTCTGAACCAAAAGGAGTTGAACATGAGGCAATGAAGGTGGGTTGAGCTACTGAATGATTACGAATGCAAGATCAATTATCACCTAGGAAAGGCTAACGTGGTAACCGATGCCCTAAGCAAGAAAGAATACTCAGGTCGTCGGGTGAAGACATTATCAATAACCATCCACTCCCACCTAACCTCACAAATTAAGGGAGCCCAAGCAGATGCCCTAAAGTCGGAGAATGCCACAAATAAAACACTACATGGGATGGATAAAACCTTTGAAGCTAGGGAGGATAAAACTTACTACTTCATTAATAGAATCTGGGTCCCTAAACTTGGGGGATTCAGAGAGATAGTCATGAACGAGGCTCATAGAACGCAATATTCTGTCCATCCAGGTACGGATAAGATCTACCTGGACATTAAGCAACATTATTGGTGGCTAAATATGAAGGCAGAGATCGCGACTTACGTGGAAAAGTGTCTCACTTGCGCCAAGGTGAAAGTAAAGTATCAAAAGCCCTCAAGATTATTACAAAAACCAGTAATACCCAAGTGGAAATGGGAAGGGATTACTATGTACTTCATAACCAAATTACCTAGGAGAGCAGATAGACTGGATGATATCTGGGTGATTGTTGATAGGTTAACTCAATCCGCTCATTTCCTACCAATAAAAGAATCATACAAGATGGAAGGATTAACACGAATGTATATCAAAGAGATTGTGAGACTTCATAGAGTGCCAGTATCTATTATCTAGACATGAGCACTACCTACCACCCTCAAACCAATAGCCAGAGCGAGGGAACCATCCAAACACTCGAAGACGTGCTCCAAGCATGTGTGATCGATTTCGGAAAGTGACGGGATACCCACTTGCCCTTGATTGAATTCTCGTACAACAACAACTATCACACGGGTATAGGGGTTGCTCCTTTTGAAGCCTTATATGGTTGTAAATGTAGATCGCCTCTCTGCTGGGCTGAGGTTGGTGACACCCAGCTGGCAAGAGGGAAATCATTGAGCAACACTCTTACAAGACCAGAAATCATTCGAGAAACTAAAGAGAGGATAATCCAAATCAAAGCCTGACTCCAAGCGTCGCGTAACCGACAAAACAGTTATGTTGACAAACGACGAAAACCTCTGGAATTCCAAGTCGGAGATTGCGTACTCTTAAAGGTCTCTCCCTGGAAAGGAATGATCCATTTTGGGAAACGAGGAAAACTAAATATGTGATACATTGGGCCATTCGAGATTCTTTCCCAAATTGGTTCGGTGGCTTATAAGCTGCAGCTACCTGCGAAGCTCAACAACGTACACCATGTGTTCCATGTTTTGAACTTGAAAAAGTGCTTATCAGATGAAACCATTTTCATTCCTCTAGAAGAAATCGAATTAAATGAGAATCTCGTGTTCGTCAAAGAACCGCTCGAGAGAATAGATATGGAAGTGAAGCCTACGTAACAGAGTCGCATTGCGATTGTAAAGGTTCGATGGAACGCTAAGCATGGACCGGAATTAACATGGGAACGCGAAGACTAGATGAACCTAAAGTACCCTCGCTTTTTCTCTCATTCATGATCTTACCTTTCAAAAGAATATCCAGACGAAATTCCCTCTAACAGGGGGATGATGTCATAACCAGCATTTTAGCTATGGAATTCTGTCCTCATGTAAACATCAACTATTATAAGACTTGTACTCTAAATGGATATCATACTCAATGCTCAATGAAAATCATCCATTTGAATCAAAACTCCTGAGTGAAGTTCAAAACCTAAGACAATACATCGCATATACTTAACTATGGGTCTGAAACCCTAAATATTCCTGTTCAAATTCAGTATGGACTAGGATCCTCTTATTGAGCCTAATGGGCCAGTAAACTTTCTATTTGATGATTTTGGTCCAATGAAACCCATCTAGGCTCTACTTGGGCCCATATTGGTCAAACCATAGCAATTGGGCCATGTTAGGCCTAAAATCACTCACTTATTTGTCATGGGCCATAATGGACCGTGAACCATTTTATTTCACCTTGATGGGCCATGAACCAATCTCCTCATATTAATTGGGCCATGCACCCAATTGGGCCATGAACTCATTTCGGCTGTGAACCCCATCTTTCCCCATTCACGACCCACTTCAAAAAAATTAGAAAAAGAATGGGATATTAGGGATTACCACCTCATCTTTACTTAGTGGTAATCTAGGTAAAGTAACTCACATATAACTAAGCATCTACACTCTAAACCATCATGCATTAAACGCTTGATCCTATCCCCTTCTACTTCTCTATTTACGACCGAGAATCACAACCCCCAACATTCTCACTTCAACATAACACATATTATAATTCCTCTCATATTCGTCCAAGAACTTCAAGAAAATCCTCCCCTTCCCTCTTCAAAAATTTGTGTGTCCTAGTGTGTGAGTTCAAGAGCACTTCATCCAAAATCCACTCATCTTGGTAAGCTACTTACACTCAACAGGTTTAACTTAATGTTCATGTTAAACTTACTTCTCCTAACACTTCATTTCACGATCCATGTTCCTTAGAAATCGCATATGTTCAAGATCTACTCAAGGGAGCTTGCTAGGACCGAAATCTCTCTTATATCTATTCACCAAAACCAAATCCATCAACCAAAGTGGGTTTATACCCCCTATTTTCGGTTTTTACTATGTTTTGGGGGAGAATATAAGTTGCTTTGTGTAGATCTATGTGTTTATGCATGCATATGTGTGTTTTCATGTTACATGTTGTGTTTATGTTATGAAAACATTTTTGATCTTTACCAAACTTAAAATATCTACTATAGTTGGTGACGTTTGTAAACTAAAACATCTTATGTGACCTACTATGTGGTGGAAAGGATTAAACATGCTAAAAATGTGTGAAAACTAAACAAAATCGTATAATGGGCCCTTTTTGACAAACTAAACAAAAAGTGAGGTTCTTATGTAACTCACGGTTTTGAGAGGATCAACAAAGACATTTTTAAAGCAAAATGGATCTTTATGATATTCATGGTCTTAGAGGGGCCAAAAGTGCAAAATTTTCACAAATGGGTTTCTATATGGGCCTTTACGGTTTTTAATGGGCCAAATATGCCAATTTTCACAAAAATGGGTCTTATTTATGTAACTCATGGTTATCAGGGGTCAAAAATGATTATTTTTGCTTAACATGACTAATTGTAATATTTGACAACCTATATAGCCTATAAATTTTAGGCCCTTTGGAGACGTGGGCCCTGGGCGGTCATCCGGATTGCCGACGTCTAGACCGGTCCTATTTCATCCGGTGCAATAAATCCTTTTAAGACTTGAAAAGCATTACTCTTGGTCCTTAAGAAATGCGTCTATGTAGAACAAGTAAAATTATCAACAATTGTTAAAGTATAAGAGTAACCATCAAAAGTTTTTGTATTATATGGACCCCATGTATCGATGTGAATAAGCTCAAATGGAACCTTAGAACCAATACAACTGTATCACATGCATGGGAGTTTATGCTGTCGAGCCTTGGTACAAATGTATTCTTCCTAGGAAGGGTTGAAGGATCAAATTATTATCATGTTGTTGTAATAGACATTACTGCATGTTCCTTTGGGCCAATAAGGCCTTTATATGGAACGATATTATGGACATTCGTCTGGATACAAATCAATTTAGGGATGAGAACGAAAAAGCAAAATCTACACTGAAAAAGATTTAGAACAAAATACTCAGCCAACATTTAAAAGGGAAGCTCAGCTCATTTTGCCTTCTTCACTGCCATCCATGACGTAAGCCTTCTTCCTTCTATCCGCCCTATCTAACAGACAAATCACAATGTTACACGTAGCATATATTGCATGAAACTTCCAGCTAGTCTTTGGTGGTTGATGCAACACTGCTCTATGGAACACCGTCATGTAATAATGAAACCCGACAGCAAACCCTACAAACATCTGCCCGAACGCCAGTAACTTCGTCCCAATTCCTGTCTCCGTCGAAAAAACCAGCACAAAGTACATCAAAAGCACCAAAAGGTACAACACATAGGAAAGAGTCTGCAAAAGCTGGATGCAGATGTATGTCGACTGTGAAGTAGCATAGAAGAACTTCAATGGCTCCAAACCTGTTATCAGCCAAGTGAGGCACAATATGGAGAAGTAGATTGAGAGGTAAATTTGGATGAAAATCACGAGTTTTTGAAGGGAAAAGTAGGCTTTGATCTGACTGAAGACGACAGAAACAAGAACAAATGGTATCATAATGAATGCGAAAAAGACCACAGAAGCAACAGTTGGTGCGTACTTCGTGCCCACGATAGGTTTCACGCCATTTGTTATCCCTTTATTGGCTTCCTTCAGATAAACTTTTGAAGTCATTGAAAGAACTTCCAAATCTGGTAGCAATGTCTCTTGAAATCTAGAAGGCAGATCTCTGAATCCATCAACAAAATCCACTTCCTCATCGTCTTGATAACTCCATTCCTGTGATTTTGTTGGTTTATTTGATTGTTTGGTAGTGGATTTGGTTTTCTTTGTTGGGTCTATCGACTTTTGGCTCAAAACTGAATTTGGTTTTGTTAAATTTGATGTTTTCGATGTGGGTTTTGTGGAATTTGTTTTCTTTGATGAGGGTTTTGCTTGAAATGACGAATCTGTATTGGTTTTCGTTGAGTTCTTGACGGAGATGACAAGCTTGAAAGGCTTTGTCAGGTTTTTGGCTGAATCTGCAGTTATAAGTTCAGTTTTGTTTTTGTTTCTGGTAGTTAAGAGGGTTGTACCTACACCATTGTGAGAAGTACTTGACTTCTTCTTGACATGTTGAGAAACTTCACGTGACTCTTCAAGAACATGTTTTTCTTCTAACATTCTCCTCCCTAAGAGCTCAACAGTGATACTAGAACTCATCGGAAGATTAGCAGTAGTGTAGGCAGAAGAATGTACAAGCATTAAAGCATAGAGGACAAGCACACACAGGTGTACCTTTCTAGTACTTGCGAAAAAGGCTTGGACTTGAACTGAAGCCATGTTGTATGCACTGAAGTCCCTGTTATGACTTGCTGACCTACAAGATGCAGAATATGTATAAATATATAAAGCAAACGGTGAAGAAAGAAAGAGCTGTGATGTCGGTGCATAATTGAGAAACCAGAAGTTGATGGAAGGTTCAATGAGAAAAGAAGACTTTTGATGACACTAAAAAGCAAAAGAGGGTAGGCATAGGTATTTGTTCTTCCATTGTTCACCTTCAACGTTGACTATGGGTTGGGTTCCATATTTCAAGTGCAAGTTGCCATATGGTGTATTATTTAGCTTCAAAGGTTGGTATGCTTCTTGTTTGTTTTGACTTGACACATGGTGAAAACCGAGTAGATGTTAATTTAAATACTGATCCTATATATCAACGTCAAACTGCAATTTAACTATTGCTTTGGATATTATTTTTATACTAAGATCACGTTACAATGATGGTAAGAAAGATATTGAAATGCGCGGAACACGAACAATAAAGCTAGGGGCTGAAACTAAAATTTACAAAAGGTTTTATATATATATATATATATATATATATATATATATATATATATATATATATATATATATATATATATATATATCTTATTAAATCTAACTATTTCTAAAAATAGACTGATTATAATATTAATATTTTTTTAAGACGTACAAACGTTTAAACTAATAGTACAACTAACTATCAATAAAATAATATTAAATTTGAAATCGTCTAAATTTTTAAACTTAGTGTACAATCACCTATGCATGAATTTTGACTAAGCTATTTAATCCCCAAGTTAAAATCCTTATTTATCTCAAGGAAGCCGATCTGGCCTTCTTTCAGCCAGTTTAATCGGTCAACAACCATAACCGGCTTTTAAATCTCTTTATCACATTATCTCCTCCATTCAATGGAAAAACCCTAGTTGTTGGAATTCACCAGCCACACAACCGCACAACTCCGTCACCTCCATAATCTCCACCCACAGTCACGCATGCTTCACCTTCTCTGCCACCTACCTACTTCTCTCAAATTAACGTTAACCACGAACAGTCTGACCACCAATGTAGGCACTCTGCCTCTTTCCGTCTATCACCGCCACCCAATAATTTTTCGTCTCTACCCTCCTTCGCCTACGTTTCTCTGTTCACCAATATCTACTGTTACCCATCCCCAACGCACCTCTACCACTTCTACACCTTATTAAGACCTATCTCTAAAACCCTACACATATCAACACATTCGTCTTCACTACTTCATTACTACCATCACCTCATTCATATCTCCATCACTCGTTGGAAACCTAAGGATATATGCATCGCCGCTTCAACCTTGAAACGGATGTGGACTACTCAAAGATTCGGCAGATCATTCGAAGCTATGTAGGTTTTCTTTAATAGTTTCCGATTTTAGTTTTCATTTAGAACTGATTCTTAATTAAACCCAAAAAATTGCAGATGGGTTAATCTGAATCTGTATTTGAAGGTAAGATATTGTTTGTTTTTTCTTGGGGATTGGGTTTGGGGTTTTTACTCCATCATTTGAATATCGGATATTGGTGTGGGATTTGCAGGTCAGATGTTAGTTTTGTAGATTTTGTTCTCATTGTAGCTGATCATGAAATGTTGGTTTCAAGTTCTCTCATTTAAGTCCTTCCGGTAGATGAAATTGCATCAGAACTAGAAAATTAACACAAATGTTAGATAGTTGTTACTCTCTTTATGACTGTATCATCGTTTTTTTATATTGTATTCTTTGCAATTGATAATAGAGGTTCTTATTATATTTGAAAATTTCATAGTTAGTTTGATGTTCTTAAAGAAATAAGCAACTAGAGAGCTTGTTAATTTGTTTAGTTCAAGGTATTACTTTCTTTCCTTATCGTTTCTCAATTTGGTTGTGTGTGTTTGTATGAGTCTATGTTTATCTTGCAAATCACCAAGAGTCAATTAGTTGTTTATAAAAATTCCTAGATCATTGTTGTTGCGAGACACTACCTTTTTTCTCCTTCCGTGGCTATCTTTGCTTGCTAAACCCACCACCTTTGTTATCGTTCTTTGCACTTCCCCTTTCTGTCTCTCTATCAAAAAGCTACCTCATAGCTTCCACATATTAGTTTCCTCTCTGCATCCTTCTAAAATACCGGTGCTGCTGACCATCGTCCTGTATCTATGCGTATGTCTAACTTTGTGTTTATGTGTGTTTACAGGACTTGAAATGGATTGATATAAACCAACATCTCAAAGAAATCGTGGGTAAGCTTCTTAAGATCTGAATATGATCTTCTTGTTGGGTTTTTAGAGCTCTTGTAGTTGAATGTTTAGTTTTTTCTTTAAAGTTGCAATATGTAAGTTTTTGTTATTGTTTGGGGTAAACCCATTTGTAAGTTTTGTTTTTGAAAATTGCAATGCATAAGTTTTTGGTTTCATTTATTGTCAGACAACAAAAAAAATTTAACTGACAAAATTTTGTGAATTTGGATTGATTTGTTTCAAATTTTATCATATACATATTTGACTATTGTATCATTCTTATATTTGAAGGTACCATATGAATAATAGTTTCTTCTTTGTTTTGTATGTATCATGTACAAGAACATGGGAGTGTTTTGTTCTTAATATTTTCTATGTAAATGAAAAAAATAAGCTTTATTTATGCATTATACCATTTGTGAATGAAAGTTTTTTTTTTTTTTTGTTAATTCTCATGTGTCTTTCTTTGACATTCGTAATTGGTTTGGCGGGTTCACGTTATGTATTTATATTTTGGTTTTCGATTTTGTTTTCAAGGTTAAGTATTTTGTTAATTAATTTATTAGGAAATTATGATTTCATTTAAGATAATTTTATTTTTAACTAAAAAAAATTATTTATATTTTTCACCACACATATCAATTTGCTTATATTTTAAAATGAAAATAGTATAACATTGCAATTGATATTTAAATATTCGTAATTTATGTTATTTAGAATATCACATGTATCCAAAAGAAAATTAACCGTCTTAAAACTTCACCAAAATTAATATTCATCGTCTGCAATAAAGAAACGAATCACCACTATAAAACTATTTGTCAAAGCGTGTTAATAAACAAATCACCACTATAAAACTAAAACTATTCGTCGAACGGTGTTTCTTTGAAATATGACATCTTATCGAAATCCAAACCAATTTTTATATAAAACACAATTTTTATCTACCCACCAAAAAGAAACTATCAAATTATCATTTTAACCATATTAAAATATGATTTGTTGTTATAACATGTTTACGAATGGATCTAATTGTCGGAAAAAGCTATTCACCGCCGCCGCATTGCGCGGGTAAACGATTAGTATATATATATATATATATATATATATATATATATATATATATATATATATATATATATATATATATATATATATATATACAGAGAGAGAGTTCAATTGAGAAAAAAAAATGTTTGGAATGGGGGAATCATTTCTAGCCAATCATTTAGCAACTTAATTTAAAATACACGGTGGCAAACTTGTAAATATGATATGATATCCTTCAACCACAGATATGTAACTGTGGATAATTTAATAATAATTCAAATTCATTACTACTCGATCGTTCATCATCCAAATTTCTTCTCCAACGTTCAACGATCATCCAAATTTCTTCAATTAAATCATAGATCAACATCATCTAGTATTAATCAATCATCTATCTTCGTTAAAAACACGTTCATCAACATCATTCAACAGTAGACCAAAAAAAATCATTTTTGTTTCTTTCAATCCAACCTTTAACTATGCTTGAATACGAGAATATCTACAATTAATTTTACTCTCAGTATCATTAGATCAATATCATCGATAATCAACAGCAGTTTCACTTCATATCATTATTCAACATCGATCATAAAAAAAACTTCGAAATTAAGGTTAGAAAAACATCAAATCATTTTTTTTTTGAAAAATTTCATATAATTCTCTATCAGTCTACTACTTGTACATTTTAAATAGTCAAAGTATCATGTTTTTAGCATTTTTAAGAAAGCTTACTTGTATGCACTCCAACTGTTTGATGAAATGCATAAACTAAATTACCACGTTATATTCATATATGAATATGTTTTCTCACCTTAATCAGTATATGATTATTAAAACACAAAACAAAGATATAAGTTTATATGTTATTCATATGTGAATAACATATAAAAATTATATATATTTGTGAATATATCGTGTAATATGCATATGTTAATATCCTGTGTAATATTCATATGTGAATAAACTGTGTAATATTCACATATGAATATATCATCTAATATTCATAAGTGAATATATCATCTAATACTTAATAAGTGAAAATACTATGTAATGTTTACAAGTGAATGCATCGTTTAATATTTAAATATAAATATCCAATATCATATTCACAAATGTATATATTATATATTAGGGTTATTGTCACTCTAGCCCAACTATCTTTTGTATATTGGTTTAAATGGTCCCTCGTAACTAATTTTTTCTTTTAAAGGGCTTATACTTGTAAATGGTCGGTTAATATGGGACTTTAACCCACAATCGAAGGTAAAAGAACTTTTTGACTTCCCAACTAAATGGCTTACTCAGCATTGATCTAGACTCGTTTACTCCTCCTCCACCTAAGCATCCAACTAACCTTCATTAATTAGCCATTATGTCTACCAACCATCCAACGACCCATAGAGGACAAGAAAGAGTCGGTGGTGGGGGCATAAAGTCTTCTTCACAAATCTTTGGTGCTTAAGGTAGCAGAAAACGATACCTTTTTACCCTAATAAGCCAAACACAATTCCGATCAACACCCAAAATGTTGGATTAGTGTCTAAGCCCGTAACCATATTTGGTAAGTACTTGACCCGATTGTGCATGGTCCTTTTGGGTTGCCTTCACGAAAGCAACTTGACTGGAGAAATAATAGAAAGAGAGGTTATTATGATTTATTAATATGTTATAAGAATAATATATTAAAGGAGAAATCATATTTGTTTAATTAATATTGGTCAATAATTAATTAGGAATTAATTTTGTAATCGAGTGTAATTAATTAAACTAGAGGGACTGAATTGTAATTATGTGATAGTTGAAAAATAGGGCAATGGTTATCCTTGTTAAAGGACGGACGAATTCAAGGATAAGGATATCCTTAAAATCGTCCAAGGTCCAAGAGATAAGGATTTTTCAAGGCTTATCTTATGGTTGCTTGATGGGCAAGTAACTGGATAAGGATAAGGATTGAAACCCTAATCTCAACCCTATATAAAGACCCCTAAGGCCTTAGGATTTCGTCCATGCTTTCTAAAGGATTCTAAGGGTCGTTTTCTACCTCCCTCTTCTCTCTCTATATCTCCTCGAATTGCTTGTGGTGTTTGTGAGCCATTAGAGGCACTACACTTGTGGTGCTTGCTTTCAAGACTTAGGGTTTGAAGATTTAAGTTGTTATTACATGTCACACCCCCGAACCAGACGGCGGAAACGTCCGAGGGCTATCGTGACTCATTGAATACCATTACAATGCATATACATGAAACATAACATAAAACATCACCAACATTTGGAATAGTACAACCGTTAGTGTTTACAGTCGTTACATTGTTCAAACGTTACATTCTCAAAATAACTGTTCAACATCACTTAAACTACAGCAAACATCATAGAGTATAAATCATCCGTCACCTTATCTGTTACCTGAGAATACAAGTATTTTGAAAAACGTCAACATACGAAATGTTGGTGAGTTCATAAGTAGAGTTTGAAATCCAATGTAATGTTTGAAACCCATCAAAAAATCCGACATTTTCTAATAATAGAATAGTGTAAAATATGTGTTGATCCATGAGTATGCATGTTTGAATTCTATAGATGTAAGCGTAATAGTTGTGAAAAATTCGACCGGTAATTCATAATTTGTAATTGTTGAAAACCCTAGGAAAACCCGACGTTTTCCTATCACTTTGTATTACTTAGTTTGTATACCGTTGTTTCGTTTCGTTAGAAGGAAATCGTTGAGCTCCGGAGGCATTGAGAATACAATGGGTGGTGAAGTGTTGTGACGTACGTTAACGAAAACGTCCAATCGACAACCTTACAAGCGATCCCTTAGGTGCCACTCGTAATTCTTCACACAACTCGATCCTCCCGGACTTGTGTAATCCCACGACCGGAGGGAAGGAGAGAAGGTGCGAAACCCTCGGTATTTCCCCGCGTCGTTCAGGACAAAATGCAATTGCGAAGGGCCCGAAGCCCAACCCGCAATCGTGAGTT